ATTGTGTTTTTCATCTGATTTTTATATAACATATTATTTATTTTCATTTTGTTAGTTCTTAAAGTGGACAGCTCTGTTTAGCTCTTCTGTTTGTTCTGATAAGGTATGGGTGGATTTCCCTAGACTTCCTTTCCTACCATATTTGACAGTTTTATTCCCCTCTCAGAGACAGATGGAGATTTTATTTAATATTCTATACCAGGGATCACTCTACCTCGTTGGGAGCATTTCTCATTTCTGTGGTGGTATTCCCTGGAACCTTAGATGGTTGCTCTGCTTCGGCATGCAGCTGTGGAAAACAGGATCCCCTAGAAGACTGCCAATTTCTGCTGTGACTCTAGTGATGATATGAGGGGATTCTATACTAGATGATTCTATCTTGATTTTTCCTGGGGTTTCCACTCACTTCCTTAATATACTGTTTTCTAACCTGGAAGGTATTTAATTTCTTGGTATGGTTTTAGGGGTGATGCAGAAGTACATCAGAATCTTCTGTTTCTCTAATACATGGCCACCACTCTTGGAAATTTATGACAACTTGCATAGCTGGAGCTGGTGAGTATTTCCTTGATTTTTCCTGTTTTTTAAAAAATTCATTGGGTACTTGGGATGGGAAATTCTCAGATACAGCTTCATTTCACTATTTTACCCAAAAGTTCATGCTACTTAATTTTGATCCTAAAGACTAATGATCTGATGAATCATACTTAGACTTGTCTCAAATGGCTTCTAACTCTTTTTAAAAAGTCTATCTCCTTTAAAGACACTTAATTACTTTTTTAAGATATAAAAGGCTGTACTACGTTCTTTGGATAAAACATCAATAGCATCTTTAAAAAATTCTGATAAGTAATCTACACAGTTGGAGGGGAAATTGGCAGGCACCTTTAATGAAAAAACTACTCATTTGGAAATATAAGTTCTATCAAGTTTATTACAGTATCTATTATACTAGTTGATAATTAAAACTGCATGGTATTAACAGAGTGGCATATCTAACAGACACATTCTCTTTTCATTCTGCAGATGTCTTCCTTTCCAATGGTATCATGTTCAGTTATTCATGCCTGAAATCTTGATGTCATCTTAAACTTATCTTTTTCATTATCCAGTTAGTCAACAAGTCACATTAATTTTTTTCTACAAAATATCTCCTTTATCCGTATCTTTTTTCATAACCATTGTCAACATAATCGAATTCTATCCACCTAGTTGACACATTTGATTAAATTTATCAGCTTCTCAATTGACACTGAGACTATCTTTGCATTTTTATCATATCATTCTTCCTCTCGAAAAGTTTCAGTGGTATTCTATTTTCTTACGCATTATATTAACATGTTTCTGTTCAGTTTTCACGAAACTCTCTTCTGTGATACTACCACACCTAAGTGAGGAAGCATTGTAAGCAATAATCCAAGAAGTTTAAGATTTATTTTCAGTGCCACTTCTCCCATGAAAACTCAAAGTAACCTCTCCCTATTCTAATTTACTATAGCATTAAATAATATAGTATCATATAATGTAAACTTTTGTTACTTCATTAGTTGAACTTTTCTCTCTAACTAGTCCACCTCTCTCCAAGGACCTTACCTTATTCATACATGTAGTACACTTTTTCTTACTGCTCTAAAAGTTAGCAGAGCTGACTAAAAGTCCTTCCTGAGACAGAGGGATATATTAAAGAACTTCTAGAATTCTTTTCTAGTTCAAAGTCTTTCTTCCACCAAACATTGGATATTCAACAGAAAGGAGAGAACTAAAATACCTTGGTGGCATAGACTTCATATTGCTCTCTGGCTCTTCAAATACATTAGGACTTGCATCTGGGGTTACTGATATGTACGGGGCAGGTACAGATGTTGACCGTAGATATCTCATTTCATCCTGGAATAGGTTGTCATCTTGATAGCCCACAAAATTTTCATGATGATGCCTGCATTAAATCAAACCCAATAACTTAAAGTATGATGGCAATACAGATCCTCTCAATTTTTAATCTCCTTCGTAACAAGAAATGCAGCACATGTAAATCTATAATTAAAGGTGGAGTATTAAAGTAATCATAGATGCAGCTGGCGAGAATAAAACTCTGATAATTCTATACATAGATATTCCAGGTACCACAAACATTTCAAATCCAAAATTGAACTCATTTTTTTTTCCTTTTGAGAACTTTTCCATCTTCCAGTGTTTTGGTGAATGATCCCGCCAACTATCCAGATGTTTAAGCTAAAATATTTCCAAGGTTGCAGTAGGCTTAGCACTCAACGATCACCATCACTCAAACCCATGATACTAGGTTCTCCTCAAAATTACTGTCTCTTCTCATTGCCTATCATCATGGCCTTGGTTCAGGCTCATGTCAGTTCTTGCATGGACTATTAAAATACAGGCAGTCACTTTTTTGGGTAGAAAATATATAAGTCATACATGAAAAATGTTAGATATATGAAATGTTCCATGGGTTAGAGAGGTGTCCATTCCCAAGAGAGCCAAAAATATAAAATCTATAATTATGCTGTATTAGCAATTTTTTTACATGCTTTATAATTGATTCTTTCCTTTTCAAACCAGAAAACGTTACTAATCTAAGTCCACTGAGTACTTTGATTGAAGCTAAAGATTTGTTGCATTTGGCATCCTGATGATTTCCACCTTGGTCTCAAACATACTTAGTCTCACATTTTCATTTTTGTTTCTTATTAATTTTACTGCAACAGTAAGTATGAAATTTTTAAAAACCACACAAACTTTGCTGTACAACGAGGACAACACTTTCCAAAGTGGAACAGCTGGTTGGCAAGCCATGCCGGCAGGTGATATCTAAAAATCTTCATTGGTCGGCTGATGAAAAAAAATCTAAATTTGGCTCACGAAAGGCTGTTTTGGAGTATCAATTCAAAATACGTGAAAGTATAGGCTGCACCCATCCAGGTTCAATATAGAAAAATAGAAAACTATTACGGGGCATCTCTCCATCTTCAATCATGCACTTTATCCAGCTTCCACATTTCATAGGGTGATCTTTTAATTGCAAACCAGTTCCTATATTTCCCTGTTTAAAATTCTTCCACTGTTTTCTCTGCCTATGGGATAAAATAGAACCTTGGCATGGGCCACAGGGCCTATGTTACCTGGCTAACAACTTTGAGCAACATTTCACATATTTCCCCCATAGACAGTGCTTTAACAAGTCTGTGATTCCTCAAATGTGTAATGAGATTTCAGTTGTGTCTTCACTTTCTTGGGTTGCTCAGCCAGAAATTGCTTTCCTCCTGTTATCTGCCTGACAAACTTTTATTTATTCTTTAAGATCCTGTTAAAGGGTCACCCCTCTG